TATCTATCTATCTATCTATCTATCTATCTATCTATCTATCTATCTATAGAGAGAGAGACAGATTATTTTTATTTAAGATAATATATTTTAAGATTTTATTATGTAGGTATATATATACTGTATATATAGAGGAGCCATTACATGCTGGTTGCTAAGAGCACAGAAAGTTTGTGAGCTGTTGGTGGGTGGGTGTGAATATTTGTAGGCACACAGACAGGATGGATAGATCCTGAATGCACGCTCTGGTGGGAGGAGGACTGACATAAGACATGGTTGATTATAGAAGAGCTTTTGTGGTACAAGTGAGAATATTTTAGTGTCTCACTTTTCAGAGAGACTTCAGCGCACAGGATTCATTACTATGACTTTGAGGATCAACATGTTTAACATAAGACAATATGAGGTAAACCCCGTCTGCTCCACTGGGGCCTAACCAGCTGGACCTGTTCTTGGTTTCCAAAAAGTCCAGTTGCCTTTATTTAAGTTCTTGTGACTTGGATGATTAAGAATCTACCCTAACAGAACTTATCTTTTACCTTTGCTGTTACACAGCAGGGTAATAGTTTTTCCACTTGCTTAAAAACTGAGTGATTACAGTACTCTCAGTTAATTTACCCACACGTTTAAAGGCCTATTCCAAAGCTAAGTGTGCCACAAGACACTGATGTAGTCTTACTCACATGTTACAGAACCTTGCATCAGTTTTTCTCATGGGTTCAACAGACCCAAAGCTCATAAGTTTAATGGAAAGTTTGAGTAATAGGAATATACACCACACACTCGCGCACAAGCACACTGACAAATGTACAAATATATATATGTGTGAGTAAGTCATTTGACTTTTTTCTGTATGTACAGTGTCTCAAATAAAATTGGCAAAAATGTTTAATAAAAATAAAGAGGAAGTAGGATTCATATTTCAAAATAAATGTTGTAAAGTAGCTCATTACGCCTTATCCAATTACATTTACGTCACTCTCGGCAGTGACAGGGAATGTAATACGACAGTGAGATATTTCCAAGTGTATGAAATGCAGCTGGATAGTTAATGAGTCCTGGAGAACCGTTTAAGATCAGACTTAATCTGTTTAACTTTTATTCTGAAACTCGGTCGAAGCGCGGTGGGGTTAGGGTCGGAGCCGCTCTCTTCTACCGGATGCTGTGGCGACTCGTGTCGGTGCGGTGTTGCGCTTTCCTGTTTACGGGCGGGAAGAGCGAACGGAGCTGACTGTGGAGGCTGCAGGGTTTAAATCTCCCGCACACTGGTTTTAATCGTCCCCCGTGCCGATGCTTTACCCGTCGCGCTGAAACGCGGGGCGTCGCGAGGCGTGCTGAGCTGCCCCCCGGGTGCCGCGGCTGAACACTGAGGGGATTGGTGCGGCGCGCGGGGCAGATGGAGGGTCCTCCCGCTGGTTCTGGCGGTGGCGGCGGCGTTGGTGCGGGTCCGGCGGAGGGCCCCACGGTGCAGGTTGCGGATATGTGCTGGCCGACCGGGGCTCTCCCTTTACGGCTTCTGGAGTGGAAGGTCAAACCCGGCACTCTTGTTAATGTGGACTCCGTGTTAGCAGTTTGTGCTCCTATCGCTCAAGATAAGGGGGCAGAGGCTGCCAGGCTGCCGGAGAAGAAGGTGAAATCGGACCGTGCTGGAGTAGTGAAGGAGCTATGCTGTCAGCTTGGACAAATCATTCCTCCCGGGTGAGTCACTCGCCGCTTATACGCCGTAGATATTAACCGCTCTGGCCCTGGTTCTGAAAGGCCTCAGGCCGTGTGGCACTTGAGTTTTGGGGTGACTTTTGCATCTACTAACTTCCAACATTAGTTACACGTTAGTTAGCCAAAGAAGCTAAACCTGCTAACTTGCTAGCATGTAAGCTAGTCAAGTCAAGCCGGTCAAAATAAACAAACAAGCACGGAACCATCATCTTCACAATAAAAGTGCAGTCCTCCAATTTGGTTGTTTATTAACTTTTTTAAGTATTATATTCCGCGCCTGGTATTTCTTTAACTATCAAACGGAGTTAGATATATTGCTTTCTTACTTATTTACGGCTGATCTTTTGTAAAGTCACCGTAATACTTACAGGAACTTAAACATCTTATTTTATTTTGAAGCCAAACGCCACGCTGAGGTCTGCCTCCTGCGTGTTTTTCTGACGCGAGCGTTTCTCGCGTGTCGCAAGTGTGCAAAGGCTGACTAGGTTCAGGTTTACAAGTGACATAGAGGGTTTTCCTTCTTAACGAGCACCAGTTGGTTTTTATGCATTGCTTTTTTATTTTTAGTCATAGCATACACACTAAAGATATCGCCATTTGTCTATTTAGGTGTGAGGAAAAGGAAGGGTACGAATTGGATGTGTCCTATCAGTTCAAAACATTCACAACTCAGCTACGAAGCTGATTGGATTACGGTCACACCTGAGCGGTGCGCGCTGCCTTCAGGTGCTGCTTGGTCTTAAAAACAAACAAATAAGCTCTGGTTTCTTTATAAACCACCGATTTATAAAAACAAAAAAAACCTATGTAATTGTGTTTCTCTTTTTGTTTTTGTGTTTTGTCAACTTAAAAAAGTCAGTACCTTTTTAAAAAAAAAAAAAAAAAAAAAGAAGGTAAAATAGTATTTAAAAAATCATACATATATCTATATATATATAGATATATGTAAATATGATATTTAAAAAGTGCCTGCTGCCTGTAACATCCCTAACGGAATAAAGGGACTGAGGTGTAATCTGGTTCCATGTTGTTAAAGGTTTGTTTACATTAGCTAGAGTTGTAACAACTGTCCATCTTTGTTCACCTTGCAGAGTATGTAGTATGTAAATACATATAGCGCACACCGTGTTTTAAAAGTTCGCAAAGGCCCATTTAGTTTGCATCAGGTGCATGTAGGCCTTACAAATGCAAATGGGGGATTCCGTTTGTAGGCAGAGCTGACTTTTGTGTTTTGACTGTCTTTTTGTTCTCTTTCCAGGGGTGTCATTGTCAGAATTGAAGAATGCAGCCATCCCATAGTGATGAAGGGTCTCTGTGCCGAATGTGGCCAGGATCTTACCCAGTAAGGACCCTCGTTCTTTTTCTGTTGAAGTATCTGGTTTCATCGCCATTTTTGCTGCTTCCACACAATCCATGAAATGATGTAAAAGTTAAAGTGTTCCACACACCCAACACCAATGAGTAGTAACAGTGTAGACCTTCAACATCTTAGGCATGAAACATCCACTGAGACTGATTATGTTTGAGATGGATTTTGTTTAATTTAATGCCATTGGCACCAGAGTCCTTGAATAGTGCCCTGTGTCACTTTGACACAGATGTTTAGTATTACTGCCTTCAGGCAGACTTTGAGGGGAATATGTCATTTTGGAGATTCCGTAAAACTTAGTGTTATTGTCTTATTGAGGCTGGTTTGATAAAGAGATTGACTGAAATGATGCCTTTGCTTACACTCAGCAGCCCATAATGCATGTCATAATCGCCCGGTGGCAAGGTAATCGTAGTACAACAACATGTTTCAGAAAAGAAGAAAGAAGATATAAGCTTGGTGAAAAAGCTCCCAGCACTGCAGCCTGAAAAGCTGCTAAGTTTAGCAACTTGATGGATCCTTCGCCTCCCATTCACAATGTGCTCAAGGACCTGAGAGATGCACAAAGTACCTGACTCCCACTGTTTTTCGTCCCCCCCCCCCCCCCCCCCCCACCCCCCCCCGGCCGAATGGGAACCAGCAAACTCCCATCTCCACAGCAACAGTTTCCATGGTGCACAGCGTCCCTGAACTGATGGTCAGCTCTGAGGTGCGTCATGCTGTGGAGACGAGCCTGGAAGACCTGGGTGCCCAGTCAGACCAGACCGGCCACCCACTCACACGCAGGGCTAAACACTTATGGATTCATTCAGCAGCCAGCCTCAAACTTAATCCTTAAAGGCAATTAATAGACTTTTAAAGGCAGGTTTAAAGAGTGTTACTTCAGTAGTGAAGCCAATAAATAAAGAGTGTAATCTGCTTTATGTTCTGTTCTGCTCAAGATGGCAAGTTTTCCACAGCCAGCATTTATCACATTAACTGGAAAAGGTCTTATTATTATCTTATTATCTGGAAAGGTTATCCTTATGGACTAAAAGTCAGTAACATCGGTTAATGTATTAATGCATACAGATCAGTTTAAAGCGTTACAGATGGCTCAGCAACAACGGGAGCGTTCTGATTGAAAGTGACAGACTTCCACACCTGGATGTGTGCTAGAGATTGAACCAAGCTGATGAGGTTTCCTTTCACAGACACTGTTGAACAAATCTCTTTATCTCTTTATCCACTAAAAGGCAGTCTCATGATGCTCCCTCCATAAGAGAGCAACTTCTAGAGATGCTAAAGGGAGCGCTTAGAGTATAGCTTACTGTTTTTTTTTGTTTTGTATTTAGCTTTTTACCTTCATAAACTGCTGCTTCCTTCCATCATCCCCACAGCAAGCAGAGCAGCTAGGCAGAGAAGACCAGCAGAGACTCCACCGGAGCAAAAAGCTGGTCCTCATGGTGGATCTGGACCAGACGCTGATTCACACCACCGAGCAGCACTGCCAGCGTATGTCCACTAAGGTAGTGCGATTCCTCCGGTGGCGTTCTCACACTCACTAAGGGTGTTGTTTTATGACGGCGCTGACAGAAATCGCGATGTTCTCAGAATATGATGTCGACACGAGGTCGATCAAACACTTCTGATTTGGTCACGGTTTGCTCTGGTACGATAGAAGAGCTTTTTTTCTCCATCGTGTTCTGACATGAAAACGATATTGTTCATATGAATCTTTCTGGCTGCAATAATTGGGGTAATGAACATCTTATGAGTCCTTAAACTTCAGCGAGGCAGCGTTTTTTTCTTTCTCAATCCATCACCTATTAGAAATGTTTGGCTCAGAGCTGAACAGAGCCACGTTTGAACCTGGAATCAATCCCATGCTGTAAACTAGCTGTTATTTTGGGGACATTACTGATAAAAAAACAATCCCAGAGAAAGCTGCTACACAGCAGCTGTCCCTGCCCCAGCCCGTTACATTTAATTTCATTCGTTTTTTTCTGAGCCTGCCTTATTTTGTCTCCCTCAGGGGATCTTCCACTTCCAGCTGGGACGCGGGGAGCCCATGCTCCACACGCGCTTACGCCCCCACTGCAAGGAATTCCTGGAGAAAATCGCCAAACTCTACGAGCTGCACGTCTTCACGTTCGGGAGCCGCCTCTATGCACACACCATCGCTGGTAATGGAGCGCCTGCACTTCCTGTTAGTGTCCATGAGAGGGAGGCGTCTGCTCGCGCTCAGCCTCTCGGCCTGTGGGGCTGCGAGCGGGCACCGTGCGTCCAGCAGACTGTTACTAACCCTGCCGTTATTCTTTAAAAAGAATCTGAGAGCCATGGAAGGTTGCGATTTCTGACTAGGGGTAACCGTGGATGCTCACAAGGTTTCCAGTTGCTTTTAGTCTGCAGGGGCTTCTGGTTTCTTGCTGAGTGCAAACCTCTCACATCGATATGATCCAGTGGTTTCTTATATTGAAGTGTATGTTATGAGTTTACCGGCCTCCTGTTTGTATTCATAGTGCCATCCTTCATCTCGGTGTATTTATGTGTATATATATATCATAATAACAGCAGAACCGCTCTGCCTCTATGTGATAAATGTTTAATGCTTTTTGAATTGGATTTATGCTACTGACCCCGAGGCCCACAGGTGGATGTGGCAGTTTCCAAAGCATCTTAGTCTCCTGCAGACGTGATAGTTCTGTCTGTCTGGTCACATGACCATGTTTTCCCCGCTTATAAGCTGAGCAGGCCTGAAGTAAGCGAGCCTGCTGCTTTAGAGAAAAGCGGGGGATGAGCACACTCCCTCTGTTAAGTTTATCGGAAGTGTTAAAATATGCATTTTTCGTCTTTCCTTATTTTAGGCTTCTTGGACCCGGAGAAGAAGCTCTTCTCTCACCGTATCCTCTCCAGGGATGAGTGCATTGACCCATTCTCCAAGACGGGGAATCTTAGGTGGGACTGTCCGTCTGCTAAATGCTACAAATGCATCGGTCTGAAGCGCTTGCTGATGGTCGCACTCTGATGTCCTTCTGAATCTCTTTTTCTGCATTTTAATTTCCAGCTCAATCTGATCATTTAGAATGTGCAAAATGCTGTCAGAGCCTTTGTTATCTCCAAATTGTCAGCACATTATTTCAAATGCCATTTCTTCTGGATATGTCTTATTAATAGCTGTCAGTAATTCTGACAACGCTCCATGCAGGTGAAGGCTGATGCAGGAAATCTAATTGCCCCTCATTTATGTCATTAGGGCAGTCACATCATCAGATTATCTCTGCACAATTATGTTGGCCTAATGGAATCACAATAATGCCAACAGAACACGTTAGAAAAAATATTGTGCTTTCAATAAACGCACTTTTATTTAGTTATAGATTTTGTATCATCAGTTTTATCATCTGTCAGAGAGCTCAGAAGGTGTTTTACACTATGCGCATCACTTTTCCCAACAGGAACCTTTTCCCCTGTGGGGACTCCATGGTTTGCATCATAGACGACCGGGAGGATGTTTGGAAGTTTGCACCCAACCTCATCACTGTGAAGAAATACATCTACTTCCAGGGCACAGGGGACATCAACGCTCCACCTGGATCACGGGAGGCTCAGATGACCAGAAAAGGTGCAGTCACGCCCCTACGGAAATACACTGCGTTTGAATAATAACGTTTTTCAATGGATAGATATTAAGATCTACAGCCAGTGACAAACTGCATCTTCAGACAGGCTGAGGACCCAAGATCACTGGAAAAAAAGAAATGATAATAGTACTTTATTCATTCCCTGTGGGAGAAATAAAAAAAATGTCTTGCAGCTCAGGAATATCCCTATTCAAAAACATGTACATTAGATAAACCTGACTGAATATGAAATGACAGAATCTGTATGCAGGGTTCTATCTTGGGAGCCAGCTTCCCCTGGAGTTGGATGTTTTGCCAAATCTTTTCAAGCATCCTCATAAAGTCCCTGCTGTTTCCTTTTAGTCATCACTGTTTGTGAAACATACGAATGGCACAGTAAATGTAACGTAAAGCTGATCCACCGGTTAACAGCAGTATTGTTGGTCTGAGCAGCTCTCTGTGCCCTGCTGGTTGTTCCTTACATCCCCTGCCGGCTCCGAATCCCCCCTCCTACCCCCGAGCTGCACAAAGAAGACACAGCAGTTTGGCCTCTAATACGCATGGAGAACAGCTTCCTCAGCTGCTGGCCAGATGTGCAGTGATGGTGCTCGAGCTGTCAAGAGCTAGTGAATGGGATGTTGGGCTATTTTGGTTAAATGCAGATTATTCCTCTCGAGCTACATGCGTAATGTTTAGCCACAGGTTTCATTGTATCCGGGTCTGTAAAATCGGTTATTTGATATGAAATAACAAATCTCTGAAAAAGGTTTTCCCAGGCTAACTGACGGAGTTGGACTCGAAAATTCCCCTCAGGAGACACACTCAAAAAAGTTTTGTCTAGGGTTTCATTTGCTGCATTTTTATTCCTAGAGCTGACGTACCGTTAAAGCCTTTAGCATGCCCAGCCTCCTCAGTTTATTTCAATTCCCTTTTTTGTCCATTCATCTGTGTTTTTTCACGTAGTGCAGGACACTATGAACAAGCACGTTTTAAAAATGCATATATATATATTTTTTTATCCGAACCGTGGAAAGGTTATTGCCTCACAATTATATTTTACACTCAAACTGTCACTAGCTCTGAAATGGCTCAGTGCACCCAGGGGAATCTTATTTGTCTGGTAGGAGTTTTTCTATTTCTCTTTCTTATTTGTTTATTTTTTTCCCAACACGGACAAGCTAGAGCAGCATTTTCTGAGCTACTATTTGGGTTCTCCCTTGTCTTGTATGTACTGTTTTGTGAAGCATGGAAATGTTTAAAGATATTTTGAAAAGAGGTATAAAAATGCAGGGCAACAAAGCTTTCAGAAGGCATTAAGGTTAAGTAACGGCCATAGAGAAAGTGCTAAAAAAAAAAAGGCATACTTTATCTAAAGCAAGTGAATTGCGTTTAAAAGATTGCATCCTACACATTAAACAGACCCTCATTATCACATTTTTCCTCTTCATAAATGTAGTGAATTTTTTATTAATTACATGTGCGGAGTCTGCCATGCTTCTTGGTAAATGGACTTATGTAGAGCTTTTCTAGTACAAACTGACTGGACTGACCACTCAAAGTGTTTTGTCGTGACCTTCATTCACATTGTTTAAAAAGGAAGCTATTTTAGAATGGCTGCTGTGATATTATATTATTGATATCATTATTAATATTATAGCATAGTCTGTGTGACTGTTTCACAGTGCAGCCAGAAGCAATTCAGCACTTAATGCTACGGGCGAGCAGAAACCAGCTTTAATCAAAGGCTAACTGATATTTATGAATTATTTTCTGTTTAAATCTTCACAAGCTACTCAGTTGACGACATTTTCTTGTTTCACGCAAAGGCACTCTATGTTGTCAAATTTGCCATTTAATGTCTCCTCTAAATATACACTAGCTTGCATAGTTTCGAACGAAAACCTTAGCCACAACTAGTTCACTAGTAAGAGAACCTGAAGCCACCTGGTGACTAGGCATAAAATGAAGTTTTCAGTTGAAAACTTCATTTTTGAGTTCTGGCTACTTGCTGAAAGAAGTGATCTGCAGAACAATTCTCCTCTCTCTCAAAAACATCCCCTCCTCTTCCTGCATCAACTCAAAAACTTTTCCATTGTGTTGTGTTGGTGAACTAATGCCGAAAATAATTTTGTTCTTGGCACCTCGAGTACAAGAACATATTCAACAGCCTTTTTCTGGTGAAATGTTTAGCGTGTACGGGCCTTCAGAAATGGTGGACTGTGAGGTGTCACTGATGTTGATTTGACTTGTGGTAACCTAAAAACAAACTGGACAAAGGGTTCCATTTAATGAAGATAGCTTATGAAGAAAGAAGCTAGAAGCTAAAGACAAGGCTTTGACATAAAACATATTCAGTATTGACCAATAAAGGAAAAGAAGACGACATTAACTTTTCTCTAATCTTGACTAGAGTAGCATGTGCCTTCCATACATGTCCCTTGACCCTCATGTCCTGCTCCAGCAGGTGGGCCCTCAGGCCGACCGGCGGACACCACAGAACAGGCCGGAACGCTTTGTGCCGAAGAACAAAATAATGGCCTCAGGAAAAGAGCGAAAGACCACAGCGAGTCTGGACAGGAAGGGTCCACACCACAAAAGTCCTCTCAGGAGGATCCAGCAAAGGAAAAGACACACCCTGCAGAAGTTGTGGGTGATGACGTAGGAAAAAGCCAAGGGTCAGAGAATGAGTCCCAGTCTGCGTCGGAATCGAAGATATCCCAGGCCGAGGACAACTCAAATGTTAAGGAAGAGGATGGAAACGAGACACTAGAGTCACAGGAAGGTGCAAACTCATTAGCACCGGGCCACGAGTCCAATAATCTAGATTTTGACCTTTCTAGTGACAGTGACAATGACTCTCTAACAGAAAAGCCCGCCTCATCAGACAGTGATGGTGAAGGCAAGTCATACCAGACAAAGGAGTCCCGACAGGAAGGTGAGGGGCAGGAGCCCACTGATGTGGACGGGAAAAGGGAAAGAGACAGTAAAGTTTGCGTAGAAGTAAAAAATAGCTCCTCCGACATGGCCGAACCCTCAGGTGTTCTCCTGCCAGACCCCGAGGTCGGGAACGGATGCATAGACCGGAGAGAGCCGGAAACTGAGTCCCAGAATAGCGAACAGTCTGGAGTCACAATGGGCGAGGAGATGCTTGACCAGAGCATGGAAGACGAAGAGGACGAGGAAGAAGCAGACAACGACCACGACGACCACCTGATACACCTGGAGGAAGTGCTGGAAAGGATCCACGCCGAGTACTACGCTCGCTACGAGACCTACCTAAAAAAGGAGACGGCCGAGACGCCAGACATTCGCAAGATTGTCCCCGAGCTGAAGAGCAAGACCCTCGAAGGCACGACATTAGTGTTCAGTGGGCTGTATCCAACCAACTACCCAATGGAGAGGACCCGCGAGTTCTACCACGCCAAAGCACTGGGGGCCAAGATCGGCAAGCACCTGATCCTCAAGTCTCTAGACCCCAATCGGACAACGCATCTCATCGCCGCGAGGGCAGGTATGTAGGTAGAAGTCGTAAGTTGGTTTGCAGGGTTTAAACTATTGACTTGTAAGTCGACTGTGTCGTCATGGGCTTGTTAGCTTTGCAGTTGGCAGATGTAGTTGGTTAGCTGTGATAGTTCAGTTTTGCAGTCGTTTTTAAGGATTAAACTGTTATTTTAAAATCAAAGCCCTTAAACAGTCTAGTCAGTTTTATCTGTGTCAAACTTTCGGAGTTCTTTTCAAACAAAACCCGCTTCTCTCAGTGAATCAGATGTTTTAAACTCAAATCATCCCTTGTCCTCTGTTATCTCTTGTGATATTAAAGGGGGGTGCCGTTGTTTTCTTCTTTTGCGTCTGGAAAAGTAACCTGAATTATTAAGGAGACGCATGGTGCATTGTGGTAATAGTGTTTGAGTTTAACCTCAAAGCGCTTTCCTTCTGTCTTTCGCTGCTGTCAACCAGGCACAGAGAAGGTGCGTCAGGCCCAGGGCTGCAAGCAGCTCCATGTGGTCAACCCCGACTGGCTGTGGAGCTGCCTGGAGCGCTGGGAGCGGGTGGAGGAGCTGCTGTACCCCCTGAAGGAAGATTACTCCAAGACACCAAGGTACAGTAACCAATTAACAAAATGAATGTGCTAAAAGCTTTTAAAACCCTTTGTGGTTTGAACAAATACAAATCCTCTGTCTTTCCTTTAAAGGAGCAACAGCCCGGCAGCTTTTCTTGACCACCAGGGCTCTCTTCAGAAGCCTCTTTTCCAACCTGCCCCCATCCACCCCAGACCTCCACCGGCGGCTCCAGAGGTCCGAACGTATGACTCCGTGACAGGAAAGCTAATCCGCAGGGGCCCTCCGGCGCCACGCTCCTCGCCTTACCTCCAGCCGACACGTCCTGACCACAGAGAGCAGTCTGGGCTCAGGTACTGCTGCACATTATGGTTAGAATCGCATGCGGAAGTGGGCCGTGAATCACCACCGCTCACAGTGTCTGCCTGTTCATCTTTTCTAGCGCCAAGCGAGAGCTCACAGAGAAATATTAGCCACGTCATTCTGTCCGATGAAAACACAGACATCATCCTGTCTACCTGTTTGCCATTAAGCCTGCACTGTAATCAGTTTGCCACCGCGTCGCTTTCTGCCACCCGGGAATGTTAATGCACCTCCAAGAAGCATAAAAAGTGCAACATCTGATTTCCCATATGGGTCCTTATGGCGCATCCAAAACATTCCAGCTAGTGAGTCATCTTTCCGTCTGTGTGACTTCCTGTCGTACAGACCGGGTTTGTTGATAAATGTCAGTTTGAATATGAATAAAAAGCATTGAAGCCAATTATTAGACTGTCTTTGTCTGCTGTTATAGTACGATGGGGAGGAGATTATTCTTTATTACTTGTTGATATATTACGTCTGAGGCTTTTTAAATGGCACACTGTATGACATTGAAGATCTGGGATTTAGGGGCAATGCTTCATTGTTTTTAAAAAAACAACACAAAACAAAAAACTGTTTAGCAGGGGCGTCAAATTTGAACAGATATTAAGTGTACAGATGTGTCCTTTGGGCCCCATTTCCATTGTTGGTTTCTCTGTAAGCCAACACAGCTGTGGCATACTGATACCATACGGTGCAAACAACACCCAGCGGAGGCATAGACTCCTTCACACCAAAAGCGAGAAACATAAAACCTCTTTTTTATGGATTGATGGTGGTCGGGAATATCCCTCCGTGGTACCCAGAGGAGCCGCTTAGCATTTGTCGTACGTCTTTTTATCTTCTCCTTGGTTCTTAATAAGAACTTGAACCACAGAGCGATGTCTTTCCTGAGGTAAGAAGGAATCACAAAGCAGGTAGAAGAAATTTAGAATTTGTCCTCTCTTTGTGCATCTGTCTGGGCCACCTGCAAATTTCCCCGAAAACACATACTCCTCACCCTTAATAGAATTAAAAAGAAGCACTGAAGACTGAATATATCTGCGCTGATTCTCTGTAATTGATAACCTCAAGTGTAAAATTGGCCCATTTTCTTCATGTATTAGATACACGGCGGAGTTTTTACTGAGTTGCATAAACTTGGGCCGAATCATCAAAGAAGATCTGTTCAATTAAGCATCCCCGAAAGGAAGCAGAGAAGCCGTCTCCTCACAGTTGCATGAACATCAGCAGGGCCCCTGAGCCCGTACACTTCCCATCATCAGTCTGCAGCCTTAACCTTCTCACTTTGTTGTCGGGAACCATATAAGCTGATTATGTGCAGGCTTTGCTAATGAGTTATGTTCCCTGGCGCTTCCTGTGAGGAGTCCTTTAACTTGACAAAACAAAAAGCTAAAAAGTAGGTCTGAAAATAAAAAGAGGCTACGAAAGCATTCCTTTATTCTCAGGTTAGGGAATTGGTTTTCCATTGGTTCAAGTGCTCAAACTCATCACCTCCAGGGGTAAAACCGCCCATACTTCCCTGTCTACATGCACAGCCCTGGTCAGCAAGATTGTACAAAGAGCTAACAGTTATATTAGAGGTGTTAGGTGTGTAATGGTCTTCTTTTTTTTCTTTTTTCTTCACTGAACCCCAGAGGAGCTGCTCAGGGTCAGCAGAATGAGGCTTCAGGATCCAGCCAAGACCAGGAGCAGTCGGGCCCGTCCCGCCGCAAACGCCAGCCGAGCATGTCGGAGGCCATGCCGCTGTACATGCTCTGCAAGGAGGATCTGGACAGCATGGACAAAGAGGTAAGGAAAGTCTTCAACAGTCGTGTCCAGAAGAAGGCTCACTGTGAACAAACATGTCCTCCATGTGACCCCTGGATCACACTGACCCAGGGCTCCTCTGGTTTGTTCAGAAGGAGGATTTTTTAGAAACAGAAAGGCAAATCGATGAAGAACCTTGTGGAGGTATTCAGAAATGGCTGGAACTAGGGCGGTATAGTGGTTCAGGGTTGCCAGCTGGTAGAAAAAACAAAGAAAAAAAAAAAAGATCCATTGCTGTTTCTTCCTGGTTTCATGGAACAGCTTTTATCCGTCCCTGGAATATGTGAGACTGTAAAATATTGTGAATTTATTCATAGTAAGTGTTTCTCATCCGGGTCTCCTTCTGCTCGTGCATTTGACGGAAATCTGTCAGAATCTGTCTAAAATCAGTGTCAGCAGTGGCAAAATCCTGCATGTAGTTGTTTTAGTACTGTCGTTCTGGTTATTTCCAGCCACCAGCCTGCTCTAATGCTCGGAGCCTGCCATGTGGCAGCCCTCTTCCGTCTGCATGTTGCATATTTTTACCGGTGTGAGGCAGGTGAAGTGATTACTGAGATGAGAGAGCTCCGCACCTCCTGCCTGGATAATGCACCTTAATTGAGCGCGAGTTCTGCTAATGGTTCCGCAGGGAGACAAATGCGCACAGCAGACCCTCGAGATGTGCCAAGAACCTCTCAGTAAGTGGCCCTTTTGTGAGGGGCTGTGTGGGCTGCCCACGTGGAGCCCGTCACAGGCCACGTTTGAGATGTGGCCGGTTTTCTGAACTGAACCCTACGCCGGTCTTAAAAGGAAGAGTAGGAATAGCGGGACATCTTACTTGAAATCGGCACACAGCAGCCGGTGGGTGGATCTATAAAGGAGTCTGTTCACCATTAGACTCTGCAGAGAATTTGGGTATATTTCAAGTTTAGCATGATTACGGCCTGTTGTTTAATCGACTCCCCCTTGGCCGCAGATGAGCTCCAGTTCATTCAGTCAGATGGAGGATGTCTTTCTGCTGCTTATACAGCGGATCTCACACTTACTGATGATTAGCTGATAAAATGTGTTTGGCTGGCTGCTACTGATCAGCTTTATCTTTGTTTGCTGTCAGTACACAATGAGACATCACATCTACTGGGTTGTGATTATTTCATTGTGCCTCACAACTGTTGGAAAATATACTTTTTTATATCAGGTAAAAGTGTATCTGAGTAATGTTATCCCATTCAGGATGCAGTTGGAAATGGATTACTTGGGAAACTAAATCGATGTGTGTCGAGCAGAATTTCCATTATAGGTTGCTAGAGACACACAGGAGCTTTCTGACCATTTCTAGGTTCAGTTTTGGCTCAAACACAGAGTTTAAAGTGGATAGAAATGAAGGCTTGAGTTGAACTGGATGAAGCGGGCGGAGAAAATAGATGGACGGATGGGTAACTTAATGATCTGGATGTCGGTGTGATTAGTCATGCTTTACATAAGATGATAGAATGATTGGCTGCTCCTCCTCATTCTGAACTGAGGTTTCAGAATGACTTCCTTATACCCTGTCCATTATTTCCCTCCCTAATACTTATCCTCTCCTGTTTGTTCTTTTACACAACTGCGTCTTCCATTTTGATCTGTACGCCAGATAGATTTGATGTTTCCATAAAAGTGTTTCCCCCTCTCTCTAACTGCCCCTGTATCCATAGAGCTCCTTCACCACTTTTCCCTCAAGCAAACAAACCTTAAGGTATTGGTTGTCTGCTCAGAAGGATTTGCTCAGTAGTAGTAAATGTCTCTATTATTAATCAGAGAATACGACTTCAGGGCGTTAGCTTGCGTTGTCAGTCTTAAAAAAAGGGGTTTTATCTTTTAATCAGAGAACATCTTTGGTGTTTTAAAAGCAGACTGTGTGGCTTTAATGAGTTTGCAAGTGAATGCAGATGTTTGAAGAGGCTCCAAAAAGAAAGGGGTCTTTTTGGATGTGGTCTGTCGTTTGAGCACCTGTCTCTGTGCCTCCTCGTCACATGAGGATGGGGATAAGATCTTATCCTGACGTGTTAATTGAACTTGTTTTTGTTTTTTTTAACCCCCTCCAACTGCTCCCGGCAAAATTTCTAGTCGTTGAAACTACTGTATGAATCCATTTTCATTGATCTTGTCCCTACAGTTTTGGAGCTTAAGACGCTTTTAGATATTTACTTCACAGTACCATTGTGTAGGATGTTGCCATGGCAGCAGGGACCAAGCATTCGTTTTCAGACTTGATTAAAGGCCAGCCTCATGCTAATCTAACGATATAGAATCTGAAGATGGAGTTGGCTAATGAGGTGCTCACCGCTCATACGGGCATTGTTCCCCCTAAACACCGGCTGCATTCATTGTGGAAATATGACATTTAGTGCGTTTTAGCATGAAACTGAGGGAGGTTCATCTCTGGGCAGGATGATTTAATGCGTCTGCCCTGTCTTGTTTTTTTTTCATTATAAAACAAAAAAGAGAACAAAATAACAATGACCTCCTTTTGCTGGTTCAGGCAAAGCTCATCTGTTATGTTCTGAAAGCCTCAAACTTTGTAATAACATCGGAAATGTCAGCCACGTTTTCAGGTGCTCCATCAAAAGACCTGAAAATGCGTTTTTTCCTGCGGCCAGTAAAGGCCAGTTGGTGGCCAGACTAATGCACACTTAATAACTTGACACATGGCGCTCTCAGACAAAAGAAGAGCTTATCCATTTGCACAAAGTCCCGGACGGTGAGCTACCTCATTTCTTCATCTTCTGATGAATATGATCGTAAATCTCCTGGCTTTATTCTAAAGGTTTTTCAAAATATTTCCTTGGCTCATTATTTTAAGCCCCATCCTTGTACGAGAGCCTTTTCTTCAGAAGCAAGCGTGAACCGTTGAACCCGTTGGGGAAATATAAGACCCACTATATGGACTAGAACCAGAACCAATAATTTCAGAATCAGTGTTGGGGAAAAAAAAGCCAAAATATAACCACAGCAACCTCTAAACCAGATGCCTTTAAGAATAAAAAAAACAAAACAAAATAGAGTCAATCTAGAAAAACTAAATTACAGGAATGCCCAGCAAAATGGAGCAAGAATTTTCCAATCTTGGGCACTTCCTTCCACTAAAACACAAAAAGCTCTCATGCTTGCAAAGCACTCCCCCTCAACAGCCTTTGATAAGTAAAGAAGTTGACTTATTGGAAGAATCCTTCGCAACTACAATGTAGTGAAATGTCATCTCCTGGGATGGCCTTGGATAAAGGGCAGGCTGTGACATTCTTAAACACTGTAGAACTCGAGGGTCACCGAGAAAGAACCAGACTTAATTGGCTGGAGCAGGGACCACATCCCAGTCGGGGAGACAGCCTAGCATTTAAATGTCACCTATAGTCACACCATGCTATGTCTAGTTTACCTGGAGCAACACGTGTAGAGTTCCCCCCGCCAAAGGGAAACAGCAGCGCCCTGGCCGGGTGACCTTTCTTTGAAGCAACCGGTCCCTCGCTGACCGCCTGGCGACGGGCGACTGGCCGTTGTGGTCACTTGTACGAGGGGCTGCCTTACAAAGACAAAGCAGAGCCACATCATAATATAGTAGTATTCAAGCACATTCACACCAGTTTCTTTTTTTTTTTTAATTCAATTTGTTCAGTCCTCGTTTTCAGCTTCTCTTCTATTGACAAGATAATGCAGCAGCTGTCCGGTGGAGCTCCTCATCCTTTCACTGATTGTTTTTTTTTTTGTTTTTTTTTAGAGCAGCTGGCAAAATCCTATGTCTAATTTACTGTTGGCATACAGTTAGCAGTGTAGTTTAATGGTTGGACAGCATGAAATCATTTGGATCTGATTAACTCATTCTGCCCAAACGCAACAAATCCCGTTGGTGGTTTCTTCTAAACCACCAAAGAGTCTCCTGCAGCCCTGAGAGGGTCATTGGTCAAGTAGAAGTGTTGGAAAACTTTCTGATCAGGGGGGAAAACAACAACAAAAAAAACCCCTAAACGTTCCAGAGTTCCATACGATAGTAATGGATTAATGAATTGATGGACTCAACTGGGGTTTTTGCCCACCTGAAGAAGCCCAGAGAGCATCGCACTGGGAGTGTGGAGCATGCTGACCGTACTTTCACATTCAGACGCCTTCTTGCATTTTCAGTCGAAAAAAAAAACAGGGCTGCATCTAGAAATGTTACTCTTTTTTTTTTTTTTTACTCCACCAGGTTTTAAAAGGAGGTCTGCATCTTGTGATGCATCTTTAGATGGCTGTGACACATGTCAGGGCTTTTTGTTCTCATCATTTAGCAGACACTAGCTCCACAGAACTGCTTTGATTACCGTATTAATTAAATGAGCCCTTCGAGGATTTAGAAAATGCTTTAAGAAAAATAAAAAAAAGGAGTCTTTGTGCTACCTTTTTACGGCCAACTGAAAGATTTCATCCACATAGGCAACACCCAGTCAGAATCTCTCCCTATGTTGGCACATTTCCTATTTGTTCTTCTCAAAAAATCCCAAAGTAAAGCCTGAAATGGCTCAGAGGGATTTGTCAACAAAGTTAAAGAAGCCAAATCCCCAATTAACATTCAGGTTTTGCGTGAGCGGGTTCGTACCGAAAGTTTTTTCTTCACCCGTGACATTTTCTTGTAAAGAAAACTAAAAGAAATTATGGTTCCACCATGTGGCCATTTGAAATGCAAATGACATTAACAGAAAGTTTCTCTCTGTTGTTAATACTCTGGCAAAAGACTTGTTTACAAACAAGTGTTTGTAAACACAGAAGTACCAAAAGTGGTTTAGCTCAGCATTTTAACTATCCATCAAAATGTACCAAAATAAACTTTATTTGAGTGTATTTGGTTCCTTTTTAGAACATTAAGCCCAATTCTGTGTAGATTTCCCAACATAAGCCTTTTTAACCCTAAGGTTGTCTTTAATGGCAAATATTTAACCTTAATCTATGTTATTGACCACATTTTAACCAGGAAATGGAGAAACATTGCCCTAAAAGAGGAAAGAAAGACTTGCGCATGGCCTTGGATCGTCATAGATTTACACATCCATGGTTTTGACAGACATCAAACATACTGGACTCTGAGTGTTGTCTGAGGATCTACATCTGTCCGTGTGGATTCCAGTTCTTACTGTGAATGATAGTTATACACTTAAAAAAAACACACAAAAAAAGACTTTAAAAAAATCCTGAATGTGGCCACAATGAACAACAAATGTATAGGTTTTTCAGCCTTTTATCTCATGTACATATGTGATGAAATGTCCTCACAGCCACATGCAGTAGTGCTGTGTTCCAGGATGATGGAAAAAATGCTGAGTTTGTTTTTCTCTGCTCTCTGAGTGTGTCCACACTGCCTCCGCAGCATTAAGCCAGCCCTCTCGCTTTGATATAAACACCGTCAGGCTCCTTGAAAGTGTAAATAAATTGCACATTTACCAGCCGATTAATCAATTGAGCGCAAAGTTCAAAGCCGCTCCTTTTTTTGGCTCCGTCAGCCAGCTCCCGGCACACTTCCGCAGTCAGGTGAGGATTTCCACTCAGATGGTGCTGGGACATGCACAGAGACACGGCTCATTAAGCCCGGGCTGGTAGGAGATCCTGCCCAGTCATCAGTCACTGATTCCTGCTCCGGCTCCGCCTGGAGGCATTGATCTCTTCCTTTCTGAGCCAGATGCAGAGAGGAGTTTCTGCATGAGTCTGCAGAATGGTCAGCCTTACTGAGGACTTTTCTTCTTTATGACGGGTGTGGAACTGTACTTATTGTTTTTTTGTTTAAGTATAATTTCTTATAGCCAACCAAAGCCATTATCTTCCCACCCTATTTTCCTGGTTTTAAACCAGTCCCCTCCCAAGACAACCGTAGGTTAAATGTATATGTCCAAATTTGTATTGAAGTTCAGACAGAAGTCCATAACAGTCTTTATTGCTCTATGAAAACTGGGGTTGGGCCTGAATTTACAGCCTTGCTGTGATAAATGAAGCAGCCCCACCTCGAATTGTGCGATTCCAGAAAGTTGATAATGACTTTTGATCTGACATAAAAGCTCCAATAGATTTCTTTATTCTCCTGCAAAGTCCCCAAGTTGGGCAGCACGGTGGTGTGGTGGTTGGCACCGTTGCGTTCCAGCAAGAAGGTTCTGGGTTGGAGTCCCAGGGGAACCAGGACCAGAGGGTTCTGGG